TTACTGACAGATTGCAAATAGCAATAGTAATAGACTTATATATCACTTCACAGTGCTTTACAGCCCTCTCTAAGCAGTTTATAGAGTTAGCCTATTGTCCCCAACGTCCTCATTTTAACAACCTTGGAAGGATGGAAGGCTGAGTCAACCTTGAGCTGGTGAGACTCGAACTGCCAAACTGCAGACAGCCAACAGTCAGCGCCCTGAAGTACTGCATTCTAACCACTGTGCCACCACGGATCATGGTACAGTATCTATCATGTCATGAAAAGTAGAAGCGATTGAATAACTGAACAACAATTAATACAGTTAAATTGACGACTAGTCAAACAATGTTTGTAATAAAATACACCTCCCTGTAATCTTCCACTACAGCCCAACTATTGGCTAAAAGGGAAGACAGCTTCCAATCACCCTTTATCAAATTATGCAATTTTATTAGGTTGCTCACAAAGATAGGAATTACTTATGTACAAGCTTGCCCAGGAATATGCTCAGCAATGGACATCACTGAAGAAGGATTTGAATAAACATATGCAGAAGAGATGTCTACATCTCTTCAGGTTCAAAGGCATAGACATACTGCTTCTTCCCTTCCCTTCCTTCCAGCATGCCTCTAGGGATCAATGGGAAGATCTGAAGAAACTGAAATGAATTCAACTGAACATACTTAGGATCTTCCAACTCTGATTAGAAATTCTGCAATGCAGAAATAGAGGCATCACACACAAGGATTCTGGGAGCAGGCTTGGTGTGCTGATCCCACCACTTCCTCATATATATATTACAATCCCATTTTATTAACACTACAAACTAGGAACTTTTAAATATTTCTGAAAGTATGTCAATGGGCCATATAAGTCATTCCCACTTTCCGTTCCAGATTTTTGTTATTTTTGTTAAGGACGAAAAAGAGTCTTAGAAAAGTCTTTTGTAATTTTTGTAAACAGTATGTATTACGGCTCAAACCTTATCCTAAATAATACGGTGTATGAAGTCAAGAGAAATTGATGTCTGAGGTGGAATTCCAAAATACTCTGAGGAAGCCTTCCCAGACCTTGGTAGTTTCCAAATATATTGATTCAACCTACCAGAATTTTTAGCAATAATCATGCCGTCAGAGGAGTTTCTGGAAGTTAAAGGCAACACCGTACATCTGAAGAGTGATTGAGATTTAGAAAGCTTGCCCTAAGAATCAGAAGTTATTGAAGGTGATACATCTGGTTAGGTTAATGCTGACTTAAGAATTCTGGAAATTATAGCCCCAAAGGCTACGGAGGATATCCAAGTGGGCAAGATGGTAAAGAAAAGAAAGTCTGACTTTTTTCTATATTTCTTCTAAAACATCTTTTTACTAAAATATGCAAGAGGAAGTGGAGGAAGACAATCAGTTCTATTAGCTTCTACATCATATTAATTTTAGGGAAAAGTTTAGAAGGAAAAAGAATCCCTGTGTTTGTGCATACTGCACACAGAGACAGAAGCGTATGGAATGTTATAAATAATGTAATTTGTAACCCTATGGTAACCTTTCACTTGATTTTTTTATTTATTTAAGGCATTAGAAGGAGAGAGGGGAAAGGGGGTCCGGAGGATTTGGAGCGGGGCTGAAGAGAGAAATCCTAAAGCGTCTGTTAGTATCTGGGATGCCCACACGGTTGGTGACCAGGGTAGCTGGGGAATCACCTTTTTACAAAGGTCTCTACCCAACCAACTTGACAGATGTTGACAGATCCCATCAGCCAGAAGGTTGGCAGATGGGAATGAGAAGACAGGGTTTTTGGCAGTGACCTCTGCTCTATGGAACATCTTCCCTTCGGAGATTAGACTGGTCCCAAATCTTTCGTAAAGCTCTAAAAACCTGGTTATGTTCCCACGCCTGGATTGTTGAATGTGCGAAGAACCATTTCCTGGTTCTATAGCTAAGTGGTTAAGTATCTTGGCTGCTATGTATATTTAACCTGGATGTTTTTAGTGTTTTTACTGTTTTAAAATGTTTTTCATATTTTAATTGTAAATTATTTTTGTGAATTGTAAACTTCCCCAGAGACTTTCTTTAAGAAAGCTTTGGATGGCTGAAGAAATTGATTGATTGGATGAACGAATGAATGAATACATATTTGAAATATAGGATCTCTACATAAATAGGCCTTCGTGAGTTCCCTTTATAAGAGATGGGGAGGAGGGGAATTGGAAGAAACAAGGGAGATCTTCAGCATATGGTTCGTTTCTCCTAAAATTAACTCTCAGCGTTCTATATACTGACCTCTTAAAAGCAGTAAATGGGTTTCTTAATATGTTAGGTCAAATATTCATCCAGTTCTCTTCCACAGCTAAAGGGAAGTCTGCTCTTGTCGGAAAGAAGGATTCCATTTACACAAAATGTTAAGGAAATCCCACAATGTCGGCAGGATGAAACTCAAGGGGATTTTTTTCCCCCATCTTCCCAAACCAGACAGAAAGGAATGTTATGTGACTGCTTCTAAAGTATCGAAAAGCATGGTTGTCTTCTTGCTGTAAAACACGCCCTACATTAAGAGAAGGGTTGCGTTACGTCTCAGGGTCTGTGAAAGATGTCGCAGACCCTTGACTGAGGAAGTTTACACTGCCCTTTGCAGCTGATCCCCTGTTCCCCCTGGACAGATTTCCTGCCACTCAGGACAGGAATAAAACAGCATGCTCTGAACCGTCATGCTGCCTTCCAAAGCAGTCCTCAGCAGAAAGATAACACAGACCCGCAGAGAGAGGAGTGTTTTTTAGCTGCCCATGCCTTCCTGAGCTGTGTGAGGAGCACTTCTGAAGAGGAGAATAGCGGACTGCCGGTGTACCTACAACATCTCTGTAAAATCTATATCTCTGCGTGGAAAAAAAATGAAAACACAACACCTGAAAATGGAGCACAGATCGAGCAACAGCTGAGGAAAAGAGAAATCTGCCTGTGACAGTTTGCTTTCAGCCACGCTCGGGGTGGAAAGTCCTTCGCCTGTCTTTGCACATGTCACCGGGGTGCTGATTTGACTGTTCAAAGAGACTCTCTGGATCCATCTGAATCTTTGACAAAAGTTCAGCCGGCTGATTCTTTTTTTCTCCCCCACTTACCAAGGAGAAGATGAAAGTGCCTCTTTGTTTTCTCTTGAGCTGCAATCTTGTCCTAATAGCAGGCTACAATTCCTTTAGGAGAAGCCTGGAGACTCTAGGCAAGAAGCAATACCAAGTCCAGCATGGATTGTGCAGCTACACTTTCCTTCTGCCCGAGATGGACAATTGCCGGTCTTCCTCCACTTCCTCGTATGTCTCCAACGCCGTGCAAAGAGATGCCCCGTTGGAGTACGACGATTCCATCCAGAGGCTTCAGCTGCTGGAAAATATGCTGGAAAACAACACTCAGTGGCTGATGAAGGTAACAAAAAATGATCTTTTCTGCCCTGTGTAGAAGCTCACGTTGAAGAGCACTAATGTCCTTTTCTGTTATATTTCAGGGCAAAGTATTCGGATATTCTTAGTGAGCAACTTTGCCAACAGTTAATAACATTGCATGTTGTCACAGGCATAAGAGAAAAGAATGCAGAGTGAGGAAGCTTATTTCCTGCACAGAGTCATTCATCGAATAATATATTTTAAAATGTTATATATATATATATATTTTAAGAAAAAAGATCTGATGGGAGCCTTGTTGCACGTGTGGGTGTCTGCATACCTCCATGCTCCTGGAGTTATATCTGGCATCACATTTTCAGATATTCGGTTCCATCAAAATTTAGTCCCGGTTAAATTAGATTTGGATTATAAGCAGGTTGCAAACGGAAAACCTATTAAAAGCGATCTCATGTAGTGAAAAAATCAGCAAGCAATCCCCACTGATGTGAACTGAAGGCACTTCTACCTGTGCACCAGTTGTAAGGAATGAAAACCAACTGGGTATATGGGATTAAAAAGCAAGACATGTAACTCCCCTATCTGAGGTTCAAAAACTTTTGGGTCATAATGTCCAAAATATGAATATCATTGACCATGTTGTGGAATAACAGATCTATGAACTACATAATCTAACAGCGACGTTTTAATTTTCTATGCTTGACAAGTAACTTAAGCAAAAGACGATCCATTTTCAAGGGATCCTTACTGAACATTGAACTATATTCTTCTTTTTGGTAAAATAACATTGCGTAGTGAGAAGTTACATTTTCTCAGGCTATATTTTTATGCCAGTAACTCGTCTGGTTGAATGCAGGGAAATGTGAAGTATGCATAATAAAATAGATGTAAGAACAAGGTTCCTGCATAAAAAAAATGTAATAATTATATGACTAATACTGAAGATGTCTGTTTTACAGCGAGGTTTACTACCAGGTAGGCACTGATGTCAACCTAAATAAAAATGTGTGGTCACATGACATCCCATGTGCTTTAATTTTTTAAAAAAAGGAGTCAGATTTTTTTCAAAACTAGACACCAGTTAGGTGTCATTCCGCAGAAAGTTTAATAAGAATTCTAATTTGCTGTTTTATTACAGTACATTTCTTTATATGTTATATAGAAATCTGTAGCTACACCGTACAATACTGTAAAAGCATCACACATCATTTAATTTAATGTCTAACGGCGTCTGTTTGAACTGTGAACGGAAATTGATAGCTGCTGGAGTCAATGTGCATACAGGAACTGAATTCTTCATGTCTTGTCAAATCAGCTGACTACTGTGTGATGTGAAAATATAACTGAATGGCAACACTGATATTTAATGTTGTGTAATAATTAAGCATTAAAGTGTTGTGGGTTGTTTATTTAATAGTCTCCTCCTATACTCAGGAGGAATCCCATTGCAATGAATGAGATATATTCCTAAGCAACTGAGCATTTTGATTGTACCATAAGCTGTATGGTAGATACAGTACAGTATAGTGGAAATGGCAGAGATCAGCACCGTTTGTTTAAAAAAGCAGACTAATGTACATTATTTTTAGGCTTCATTTTTAAATACTAATGTTAATTTCAAATGTGGTCTAACAACATAAATCTTTAAAAAAAAAACACCAAGGAAATTCTGGGTTACGTTCAACATTCTCACAGTGCATTTGTCAGCTGAACAAAAAAAAAAACTGGATTAAAACTATTTGGATTTAGCTTCCATTATCTTTACTTTTCGCTTGTAAATCTCTCTGAAATTATTTATGGCCAGTAAACTTAGCAAAGCCATGAGAACTACAGTCCTACATTTGGAGAGCCACCTTTCCATTTCTGACATTCAGTTCTCACCATTTTTTAGCTTTATATTTGTTTAACTTAGCCTTTTGCAACCTTCTGATCTCTAGTACGTACATTTAAAATCAACACTTCTATTCCAGAAAATCTGATTAATGTAGATTTCTTCCTGCTTTTGTAAACATTAGTTTTGTATTGGGAGAACAAGCACTTTTTTACTACTGTCTACATTGAATTCTTTCTAACATCAATTATCTATAACAGTTTTGCTCCTAATGTTGCCTGCATCATCAGGCGGTATTGCATTTCCCATCTTGAATCAATCATCAAAAGGAAGTGTTATGTTTCTGAATGGACAGTGAACTGTCTGAATGGAAGAGACTGAATTCACTATGCTTGCATTACAATAGAAAGCTGGACAATGTCAAAGCTACATCCAGGATACTAACAGAAAATTAACATTTCACAAGTTCCTGGAAAACTACAATCGCGCACTCATGTTCTTACAGTTAAAATGAGATTACTATTATTAGTACAAATGTGTGCAGCCTCTTTTAAGATCTTGCCAAAAAGTACTAATGTTTCCGATATCTTATTAAAACTAAAAACTAGCTCACAATATATTTCAACAAATTCAACAAATCTCATTTTGGGAGAAAGATAAAATATATGGGGCTTCTAATCCTCTGTACCATACTTTTTTAAAAGTAAAAATCCTGGAATTTCTGTATTAGCCTCACCAATTTAGCCAAAGAATATTAAAATTTTATACTTAACTGTATCTAGGTTAAAATTTAATGTTAAAATTAAATGGTATATAGTATTTACCTGTTTCCCAATCCTAACCCCAATTAAATCATCAGTTTTATTTAAAGATGAAAGGTAGTTATCCAAAATTCATTGTTCATTTTAGGGGCTGTGGTATTGCAAAGTTTGAGAATCTCTGGTGTAGGCTAAATAATAACAACTGATTAATGAACGTCTAAAACAGTTAACCAGATAATATAATTCCATTTCTGAACTCAGTTGCAAGCTATATTGTTTTTGTTTTTTGTTAGTTGAGAAGTCGTGTCCGACCCATTGTGACCCCATGGACAATGTTCTTTACCATCCCCCGGACAAGTTATATTAGGTACTAGAAATAGAAAACTAGGGAATCTTTTATATTTAATAAATATTCTATATGTAATAAATATTCTGCAAGCAGGTACCAGATCCAATTTTGCAGAAACAGTTTAACCTATTAGATAGGAGAGTAGAAACAGTTTAACCTATTAGATAGGAGAGTAGAAACAGTTTAACCTATTAGATAGGAGAGTAGAA